AGATAGATAGATAGATAGATAGATAGATAGATAGATAGATAGATAGACAGACAGACAAATGACAGATAGACTGACTCATAGCTAGAAGAATGAATGAATGAATGAATGAATGAATGAATGAAAGAAAAGCAAGCCAGCCTGCTCTGAACATTCCTCCTCCCATTAAATAACTATTGACGAGTCATAAGCCACAAAATGTTTGCTCTGTGTGTTCTACTGAAGGGAAAAAAAATGAAAAGCACTTAATAATTCCTTTTGGAAAGAAAGTGGCACCAGTGGTCAGAGGTTATTTCTTCACCATATGCCTAGAAACAATATTATTTCACCTTATAGTCCCAGTGCAATGATTTTTAAAACTCAGCGGAACTCTGAAAGCTTTATTCATTTAATGTTCTGTGAACCCAGCTAACAGGATTACCGGACGTCAACAAATTTCATTTTCAATGATTTTCTTCAAAGGCCTGGAATGACTAAGGGGACAGAAAACCTCAGGCAGATACTCGAGACTCAGGGTACTGCTCTGTGTTCTATACTCATTTATCCCTGTGAATATTTTGCAGCCATCGAAAGCTGCACCGCCCACTGCAGTCTATCGACCAGTGCCTGCCCAGAGGACAGACTGCCGGACACCTGTCAATGAAAAGCACCCAGAGGTGGGCACAGTAGCATGTATCTATAACCCTGGCATCTGTACAGCTGATACAGGGGGATGACTTGATCCCTTAAGTTCTAGACCAAGCTGGGTAACAGAGAGAACTTATGCCCTTCCCCACACAACCCCCAAAAAGTGAATGCAATGATACTTTTGAAAAGGAAAAACATCAAACAGAATAATTTGCTTCTGAATCCAAGGTACATGAAACAGATGCTGAAATTCCAGAGAGCAGAATGGTCATTTTGCCTTGAAAAACCATTGATGCACCCTTTTAATCCCAGCACCCCATTAGCAGAGGCAGGGGAATTACTGTAAATTTGAGGTCATCATGGTCTACATGGCAAGTTCCAAGCCAGCCAGAACTACCCAGTGATATCCTGTCTCAAAAGAAATAAAATTGTGGAGAACCTAGTTAGCTACCTGAAGTTCTGGATGTAGGTGTAATCCTCTTCCTTCTGTAAGAGTTGTGATTTCACAATTGTGTCTCGCAGCCCAAACTTCTGCATGGATAAAATATGAGCCTTGTCCGATACCGTGATTGTGGAGGAGCGAACCATGTCGGTAATTTCAGACTTGGATTTAGGCTGTCTGGAGAAAAATGAAAGCATCTTAATGATGTTTTGAGTCTGGCATGGAAAAGAAATATAAAACTAGATGTTCCCACACATCAGCACCTGAATCACAGAGGAGTAAAGGAGGCCACGTTAAATTTATTTGCTAATAACAAATGGGAGATTAAGCAACCTGATATATTGATTACACAGTATAACTGGCCTAGAAATTTTTCTGATAATACGTTCAAAGACTCTTAGGTCACAAAGGAACCTTAAAAGAAAAAAGAAGGAAAACTTGGCATATAGCTCAACAGGAAGAGCACTTGACTTATATGTACAGGGTCCCGGTTCAACCCCTAGTACTACAAAAGTGGAATGTGCTCACCCTGCTGGAGGGAGGGGAGTGTGGCTGGGACTCTGATGTGAGCGTTTTTCTGCATCTTTGCGCCTCACAGAACAAGACTGTAAGGTCCTCCAGACCTTTTGTAGTAAGACCAAATAAAAAGTCCATAGAAATTTAGACTATATTATCATGTAGTATCTGTAGCTAGGATAGAAATTATTCAAGAGCTAATGTAAGAAAAATATGACATATTTGCCTAACAGGGTCCTATGCTACAACGCAAAAAACACATTAAAGGTGCCTTAATGAACTAAAGTACGTAAGGCTGTGAAAGCCATCCCAGCAGTGACTAATGACACTGGTGGTGGTTTGAAGAAGAGTGGCCCCCACAGGCTTATGTATTTGAATGCTTAGTTCCACTATGCAAAAGGTGTAGAAGGATTAGGGGGTATAGTCTTGTTGGAGTAGGTGTGGCCTGGTTGGAGGAAGTTATAAGTGGGCTTTGAGGTTTCAAAAGCCCATGCCAGGCCCAGGCTCTCTTCCTGCTGCTTGTGGATCAGGATGTAGCTCTCAGCTACTGCTCCAGCGCCAGCCTCCATGCCACCATCACTCTGAAACAGAAAGTAACCCCCAATGAAATGCTCTCTTTTGTTGCTGTGGTCATGGTGTCTCTTCATAGCAACAGAACACTGACTAAGACACCGCATAAGTAATAACAGCGCCACTGGTATTTACACATCAAGTAAGGCTATGTCAGACTGTACAGCATGCTAGCCGTCTTAATTAAGGTTTTACTGCTGTGAAGAGACGCTTTGAGCATGGCAGCTCTTATAAAGGAATACACTTAATTGGGGCTGGCTTACAGTTCAGAAGTTAGTCCATCATAATCATGGCAGGAAGAATGGTGGCCTGCGGGCAGACATGGTGCTGCAGAAGTAGATGAGAGTTCTACATCCAGCTCTGTAGGCAGCAGGAAGAAACAGTGACACACTGGCCAGGCTTGAGGATCTGAGACCTCAAAGCCCCCCCTAGTGATACACTTCTTCCAACAGTACCATACCTACTCCAACAAGGCCATACCTCCTAAGAGTACTACTCCCCGTGTGCCTGTGGGGGCCATTTTTATTTCAACCACCACAGTGGCACACACTAATCTTGGTACTAGGGAGGCAGAGGCAGGCAGACCTCTAAGTTCAAGGCCATTCTCCTCTATGTATCAAACTCTAGGCTAGCCAGGGCTACATAGTAATACCATCTCCAAACAAAATAAAATAAGGAAGTGGGGAAGGGTGAGTGGAGAGATGGGTTTAGTAGTTAAGAGCACTTGTCAGTCTTGTGGAGAAACCAGGTTCAGTTCCCAGCACCCACATGGTAGTTCACAATCTGTAACTCCAGTTCCGGGGTATTTGGCACCATCGTCTAACCCCTGGGCATCAGACACACCTGTGGCACATACACACAGGTAAACACCCATTCACATAAAATAAATCTTAAAAAGAAAATTTTTTTTGTAAAGAATATATGACATAGACACCAAAATGGTTCTCAAGAATGATGGATTCTCAAATACACTCATTGTTGCTTAAGGGTATAATTAAAATATTGACCAAAAAGTGTTTTATTTTTACCATATGATTCTACTTACCACTAGTAGAAGACACTAGAAAACACACTAAATAATTGTGCAATGTGGGGGAAAGGACTTAAAAAAAAAAAAAAAAGTGTTTTCCAAGTCAGAAAATTATAAAAAGAATGTGAGGAGGGAATTAAACATTTTCAATTTCATGTATTTTTGCTTAATTGTCTGTTTATTTGTTTGAAACAGGGTTTTGCTGTGTGGAAGAATGGCCTGGAACTCACTATGTAGACTTGAAGTCAGAGATCTATCTGCTTCTGCCTCCCTGGTACTAGGATTAAGGGAATGTGCCACCTTGCCAGGTTTAACTTTTTAAATGGTGTGTGCGTGCACCAGAGGATGCTGGCTGTCCTCCTGTCTAGCCCTTCAGGCAGGCTGGAATAGCTTCCTCCCTGAACATGGGGCTCCTGCTTGTTAAGCTAGGATGGAAGCCAGCAAGTCACTATGATCTTCCTGTCTCCATACCTCATCTCCCTGCCCAGAGAAGTGGGTTATGAACGTGTGAGAGCAGCTTGTTTGTTACTCAGGTGTTGGGATGTGGATATGGTTCTCAGAACTGCACAGCATTCTCCAGACCACTTTTTAAATCTCTACGGGAGAGTTAGGGTACTTGCAAGTCCATGTTCTAAAAGGATTCCTGGCTAGTGCAGGACATTGAGTGCCTTATATAAAAATAAAATAATAAAATAAGTAAATAAATAAAAAACACAGGTTCTAGGAATCTGAATTCAGGTCCTCAAGTTTGTGGGGCAATGCTTTATCTACTGAGCCATCTTCTCTACCCAACCTATGAAGTCTCTTTTCTTTATTTAAGATTTATTATATTGTTTTTAACTATGTGTGTGTCTCCATAAGGGAAAGTACACATGAGTGCAATTCCCAGAAGAGAGTGTCAAATCCCCTGGAGCCCTGTGGTTGCTGGAAATGAAACCGGTTCCCTGTAAAAGCAGCCAGTGTTCTTAACTCCTGAGCCATCTCTCCACTCCCTTATGTAATTCCTTGTCACCTGGGGCTCCTTAGCTCTAAAACAGTAAAGTACGAAACTCTGATGTAAACAGTCCCTGTAAGAGGCTGCAGCTTGGCATACACAGTAAGAGCACCCATGGCCCGCACAGTAGAAACAGTTCTTGCCTTCAGTTACTTGGAATACACAATGGGGGAGTCTCTAATGAAGACAGTCTTCAGGTACAAACGAAGGGAGGGTTGCAGTACCTTGTGACCCAGTTTTCTGGTTTATCCGGACACCTGGCTCCAGAGCTTTGGTCCATAAGCAGGCCTCTCCCATTTGGCTTCGAGCTGTCGAGGTTAGAACCACCTAAAGAAGAGAAGGAATTAAAGCATACTAGTGTGCTTGAGTACACAGAGCATAGCTACTCAGGCAGTGGCCAAGGAATCACCGGCCCAAGCTGGCATGCAGGTACAGTCTTACAAGGCACATGCAGAGGCAGAAAGGTAGCTCACCTGGATGGTTTTGCCACTGAAAACAAAGCTATTCTAGCCACTCTATCCCGTTCTGGGAACAGTAATAGCAGAAGACCCTCAACACCCAACTCTGTCCTCCATATTCACCTGGATCTGCATATACACACCCATCAAGACCAACCTAAGACACATGATGAGACTCAGCCTCAAAAAACTAGGGCAAATACACGCCTTTAATCTCAGCACTTAGGATACAGGCAGGCAGATCTCTGTGAGTTCGAAGCTAGCCTGGTGTACTTAGTGAGTTACGGACCAACTAGAGCTACATGGTGAGACCCAGATTCAGAAAAACAAAATAAACAAAACAACTCATGGGTTAAGGATGAGGCTGAGTGGTAGGGTGCTTATCAAACATGTTCGAAGCCCTGAATTTGATTCCTGACACCATCAAAAATAAATGAATAAGATCACTTTACTTTAAGATCTCAGGGTCTCCTGGAGTGATATACAGAAAATGACAAAGTCATCTAACCATCACAACATGGAACCACACTGACATGGGGTAAGGGAAAAAGTGTTAACTACAAAACTTTAAAAATGTGTAGCCTGTAAGCCCAAGTGGACAAGTGGGAAGCCATGCAAGCACTGTGCTCCAGTTCAGAATATGGCTACCATATGGCACAGATTAACAGCTGGGCAACTACTGCACATGAGCACAGAGTAAAGGGATGGTGAATGATGTAAGACAAGTGACCCACTATTGAAGCAGGAGAGTTCAGATGAGCAAACAAAGAGAGCTAGAATGATCCAAGTGGTGATGGATTAGATTTACGACTATCAATGTGGATTAACATTTAGCTTAACGCAGGCGATTAGATATAGAAACAACCACCTACAACTCCAACTCCAGCTCTGCTGCTGGCCTCTCAGGGACCCGACACATCATATACTCCCACATATACACATGATTAAAATGAAAATAAATTTTAAAAAGGAATAGTCGCATAAGGCTGGTGATATAGCTCAGCTGGGAGAGTGAGTGCTTGTCTCATATGCACGAAGCCCTGGGTTCAATCCCCAGCACCATATAAACTGGGTACAGTAATCTATACCAACCCCAGCACTAGGGAGCTGGAAGCTGGAAGGTCAGAAGCTCAAATTCACCCTCAACTATATAGGGGGTTTGAGTCTAAGCTACATGAGACCCTTTCTCAAAGAAAAAAAAAAAACTGACCCCCACCACACAGACACACATACTGCTTTGCTGTTGTCTGAAAGCAAAAGCACACTTGATGTGAAACCTTAGCTTCTAGGACAATTTTCTAATACTGGGCTCCTGAGAAGTATGGCTATCTGGGGACTGAGAAAAGAAACACACGAAATGAGCCTGAAATCTCTGACAGTGCTAAAAGCAGGAAAGTACTAAAAATACATAAAAAAAAATAATAATAAATAATCATGGGATGATAAAACAAATGAGGAGACATGACTCTCCCAGGGAGAATTCCAAATAACTCACACAGCAGCTTTCCCTTCGGAGAGGGAGCTAAGTCCCTACTCTACAGGGCGGCCTGTGCAGAGTGACATCCTTTCCAAAGGATGAAGTATGCAAAGGAGGAAAATCAAAGCTTTGTGGGACAGAAATGTGACAGGCACTTCCTCAGCCAGGTGGTCAAGGTTCACCTGTGATAAGTAATATTGATAACGTACAGCCTTGACAGATAGAATGTTCCCTCCCACTAGAGTTTTCTAGAATGTTTTCTCCCTCTAAGGAGAAAAAGGAAGTGTTCCTAAAAGCTGTCAAGGCCATCAAAAACAAGGCAAGAATCAGAGGAAACTAAGTGGACACATGACAGTTCAGTGTCATGGGGGTCCTGGATGGGACCATGGACAGAGTGGACAGAGAAAAGTCATTAGGTAAAAATCCGAGTGTGGACTTTGGTCAATAGTAATCTATCAACATGGGTTTAATACTGATAACAAATGTGCCATCCCTAGTGCAAGACAGTGATACAGGAAACTGATGTAAAGTTAGGAAATTTTTCTGTACTGTTTTCATAGGAAAATAAACTGTTCTGATGGATGTGTGATAATACACTTTAGTCCCAGTACTCAAGAGGCAGATCCTTGAGTTTGAGGCTGGGCTTGTCTACAGGGCAAATTCCAAGACAGCCACCGCTACAGAGAGAACCCATCTCAAAAGGGAAAAAAAAAAAGTTCTAAACTGTAAAAGATTTTAGTACTAGGAGCTTAGATCAAAACCCCATGAAAAGCTCATCCCTATCCAGCCTCTGCTCTTGTCCTGTGTCTTTTCAACCTTTTGCAGTCCAGCCTCATCTCAGCCCTCTGGGGCCCAGCCTCGGCTATGTCTGCAATCTTCCACTAACTGTAGCTTATGGTAACTGATAAGCATGAGGCCCAGTCAGAGCAGGCTGCAGCTCTGTCCACTCTCACCTCCTTGAAGTAAACACTGGATGGATGTCACTGTTTCCTTGGGAACCAGCCCTTGGAGGGTCCCTCCTTTTCTCCGCCCCTTGTAAAATCCTAAGCAAGGCACCTCCCTCCTAGCTGTTCTCTTCCTCAGCTCCTAACCTCATTTGGCCTCAGAGTTTTATTTTTATTTTCAATGTGGCTATTGGGCTTCACAAACTCTTACCCACTGAGCCATCTCTCCAGCCCTAATCTCAGGATTTTAAAAACTATACACATGGCTCTCTCTCTTTCCCCCCTCCCTCCACTGTCTTAAGATTTATTTATTTTGTGTGAGAAGGTCTTGCCTACATGTATATGCACTACCTGTGTGCCTGAGAAAATTAGAAGATAGCAGAGCATTCCCTGGAACTAGGGTTTGGGTTGTGAGCTACCATATGGGTGCTAGAAACTAAACCTGGGTCCTCTGCAAGAGCAGCAAGTGCTCTTAACCTCTAAGCCATCTCTTTAGCACTTCCACATGGGCCTCTTGCCACATAAATGCAAATGGGGGCACAAGGAGACCAGGCTAGCCATGAGACTCTGTGGACTACTTTAAGAAAATAGCAGACAAGTTGAACATGGGGCAACTGTCAGCTTTGGTAAGACCTCGATAAGGAAAATGGAGATCCACCATCGAGTGAGAAGGCTCAGTAGGTAAAGGCGCTCAACTCCAAGCCTGACAATCTGATTTCAGTCCCCAGCACCTACATGGTAAAAGGAGAGAACTAAGTCTCCCTAATTGTACTCTGACTTCTACATGTTTACTGAGACAGGTTTCCCTAAGTAGTGGCTTTGGCTGGCCTCAAACTCATAAGGATCCACTTTACCTCTGCCTCCCAAGTGATAAGAGTAAAAAACACGTCACCATATCCAGCTTCAAAAATTTGTTTTAGCTGGGCATGGTGATGCAAGCATATCTTTAATCCCAGCACTTGGAATCAGAAGCAGGTGAATATCTGAGTTCAAGGCCAGCCTAATCTTCAGAATGAGTTCCAGGATAGCCAGGGCTACAAAGAGAAACCCTGTCTCAAATAAATAAATAGATAGATAGATAGATAGATAGATAGATAGATAGATAGATAGATAGATAAATAGATAAATAAATAGATAAATAAATAAATAAAAGAGAAAAAGGAAAAGGGAAAAAAAAAAAGAGGTAGGCAGATCTCTGTGAATTCAAAGCCTACCCAGTCAATACAGTGAGTTACAGGACAGCCAGGGCTATGGCTATGTAAAGAAACCCTGCCTCAAAGACAGATAAAAATAAAATAAAATAGAGACACAAGAGAATGTCCTGCCCACCAAAGAGACTAATGAGCAGGAAAAGCAGAGTGAAGTTTTCTAAACACCTCAGCAGTTAAGAACACTGGCTGCTCTTTCAGAGGGCCCAGGTTCAACTCCCAGCACCCACATGGCAGCTCACAACTGTCTGTAACTCCTGTTCCAAGGGATCTGACATCCTCACATAGACATACATGCTGTCAAAACCCCAATATATATAAAATACAAATAAATAAATTATTAAAAGAGAGAGAGAGAGAGTCTCCATCTACAGCATCTGATACCCCTGGAAGAAAAGCCACAAGTCACAAGCTGCACTATGAACCCAGGTCATCTGTGCGATGCCACTGACTTGTGTGTGGGTCTTTAGGGGGCCCCTGGTCACACAGCTCCAGTTTGCCCTGGGATGCTATGGAAAAACAGTATGATTAATGAAAATAGAACTTGCTTCACAGCATGCAAACAACTCAACACTAAACAAGGACTGATTTACATTTCTGTTCCACACCTTCCTCCAGTTCCTACACCCACGTCCCAGCTTCATCTTCTCTATCCCAGTAAATGGCTCCAGCATTCAACCAGCTGATCAGAATCAAAACTTCACACTCACTGGTCACAGAGGTACATGCCTGTAATCCCAGGGCTTGGAAGGATGAGGCAGAAGAACTCCCTCAAGTGAGACCAGTCTGGGCTACAATGTCCAACTGACAAAACAACTAGCAGGATGGGGCATACCTACAATCTCAACACGTGGGCTACCGCTGCTGTTCAAGGATAGCCTGAGATAGACAAAACTACCTAAAACAAGCAAACAAATACACCAAGGCCTTCTCCTGGCCCTTCCCATTTCCTCGCTCACATGTACATTTAATTCACTGGCAACTGAAGCAAGTTCTGCCTTCAAAACCATGCCCAGAACTTCTGGGACTACGGACTACGGGAGCAGCTTCCTGTTTGTGTGCTTCCTTATATAAGGCCTATTGTTAGCTTCCCAGAGAGCAGCCACAGCAAACCTTAAAGTACACAAGAGTTTTAGATGAGGTCATTTCTCTGCTTAAATTTTCCAAATAACTTCCCATCACACTGAAAATAAAACTCACCCTCAGAAGCAAAAATTGAGAAGGCCGTGCCCTGGGCATC